CGGCCACGTGGACCAGTGTTTAATCAAAACAGACTACGCCAAATTTGTGACTGCTGTGGCGTTAACAAAATATATATATATAATATAACTTGTGCTTTCTTCTGTATAAGAAAAGATCCCATACGATCTCTAGCTGCCGAGCGGCTGCTCTTTAAATTGCTATAACTAAAAAACTATTTGAGATATAGATTTGAAATTTGAATATGTTATTTTTAAAGGTGTAAACTACCGAAATATGAAAAAATCGATTTTTTGAAATTTCACACTGGTTGTGCCCTTTAATGGAAGAAATTTCTTTTCTTGATAATATAATTATGTATATCGCCTACTGTATATACGTCATGAATGCAGAGCTCGAGCACACTATCTCTGTATACTATGGGTGTAGGTACCAGTTATCAAATCACCTCCTTGGTTCCTATATAAGTATGCTCTAGGCAGAAAATTGTCTTTAAATCGCCATATATTTTCATGGGACTGCCATTCAGCTGGACGTGATCAGGAATAGTTTTTTTGTTTTTTTGGTTCCACTGAATTGCCAACAAAAGATGTTTGATAACGAGCCAAATTAAGACGGATACCTTCTTGTGGTTGTGTGTTAGATTCGAATATATAAAATCTATTTCAGTGAAAATTTTTAAAATTTACTCAAAAAATTTCCACATTCAACATCCATTCTTTGTATCACGAATCTCAAATTCACATGCTTTTTATCTCAATTTATTGTATACCACCGCACTGCCATGTCTGCTATTAATTCGCAATATTTTATCCATTTCGACTTTTAATTTGCAATTTCCACATATTTCTTTCTCTCTGCAAATATTTCTTCACCCCGAACCGTAAGCAGCGACATTTATTTAATTTCGCCAATCTTCACACCGCCAACACTTTATTAGCAACCACAGAAGCATTGTGGCTCAACGCTTGCCAACTGCTGGTGCAACTGCACCTTCCACCCACGTCACGTCGCAGCGCTTAAACGCCTGCCGCCTTCACAACCCATGCATCATTATCACTTTCACGCCTGTTTTAATAAGAGTTAAAGGAAAAGCCCGCCTTGCCAGTACGTGGCACACAAGGTGCTAATGGGCAACTGAAACGGATGCAAAAAAGAAAGAAGAGTTGTGCGAGTATAGAAAAAATGCCAACAAAATAGAGAAAGTAAAAGAAAATGTTGCATTGAAAAGTGTACACAATGTACATACAAGCAAGCCCGACACGCACACGAAAAATCGCTTTAATGCACGCGATAATGGAATTGGATAACCGTGCTGCCTCTTGCCTCAGCGCGTCCGCGTTGGGTGCATGTCGACCTCACTGTCGCTCATTGCTGGACGGCTTATTGCCTCACTGACGCGCTGGGAGAAACGACACTGCACTGGATTCGTGTGCTGCTAAGCTGCCTGGCTGCATGTCCCTGCTTCTCTGCTTGCTGGCTACTCTACAACTTGACTGCCGCACTCACCTGGCCTGCCTTCGGAGACGCAAAAACAAACTGGTGTTGCACATATCCTTTCTGCGCACATTCCAGCACGAGTCGTACTACGTTAAGCTACGTGTATAACATGGCTTGCTGATTTTCCTCTTCCTTTTCCTTTTCCTGTGCCTCCAGCGCAAGGCTTTGTGTGCCGCTTTACTCGTAAGCTGGCATTCCACGTTGCTCATATGCTATGTTGCACGTGTCGATCGCGTATGCTGTGCCGGAATGTTCTCCCAGCTCATATACCAAGGGACTCTATCCATTCTCCACCTTTATTTTACACATTTTTTTGTATTTTTTCGCACTTTTTTTTCTTTTTTTGATAGAGTTTCGTAATTGATTTGTCCGTTAACGTCTTTTCTGTGTATCTGCCAGTATATGTGCGACTGTTCCGCTTGCATCAGCGTTTGTGTGTGTGTGTGTATGTTCGTGCAATTTGTTGCAGTTACTGTAGTTAAGCTGTTCTTGTTGCAGCCATCTCCAGCTACAGTTTCTCACTTCCTCTTCATTGTTGCTCATTTTGGCGCTAGACATTCCTTGGCAAGCCGCAGCAGCTCTACTAACACTGTGGTTGCCTGGTTGGCTGGATGCCTGCTTGCTCGTCTGCCTGCTGACACTACCACTTTCAGTCTGTTGCCCAACACTTTGCGAGTGTTAAAGCGTACCGTTATTCAACGAGAATTTTATGTGGCAATAATGCCAACATTGCCAACCATAATGTGACGTGTGAGTATGGCGTCAGTTGTGGCTTGGAACCGCAACAAATTCTTGTTACATTCTTGTTTTCTACACTCGTAGCATAAGGAAGATTTGTTGCTGAACCGTTTTGAAAGACTTTAATTGGTTTTTATAAAAATATGCATTTTTTACGGTATTTGTTTTGTGATGTAATAATTCAGCAGTTCAAAAAGAAAAGGTATATAAATCAATATTAAATAAAAAAAATATTTAAAATCAATAAACATATTTATCGAATAAAACATTGAGTTATTTTTAAAAACATTTTAAAATAAATAATATATTATCCCATTTAAGTTTAACATAAACCCCCCAAATGGTACGAATCTTCGCTGAAGTAAAAAATTTGCATCAAAATGTAGGCCACGTTTCCCGGTTATTGTTCTCCATAGTACTTTGCGCCTTCAAAAGAAATTTTGATTGAAGGTAACACCCAACAGCGTAGCAAGACGGGACCAGTCTGATATTAGTATCGTTCTAACAGCAAAATGCTGTCGAAATCTTAAGTGGAAACAAGACGAAATGTTGATAACAAAATGCCGGGAACAGAAAGCAAAAAGAGACCAGGAATAGCGTAACGAAATCGAAGTATACTAAAGATAACTAAATAAAAGATACCGGAAAGTATAACATAGAAAACTGGGAATTATATACCGTGCACCTAGAAACCAGAAACATGAGACCGGTTACAGAAAAGTCTTTTCTGCAATATTATACCGAATGCAGAAATTCTTCTAAGGGAAATGTTATACCAAGAGCATGAGACTAAAAATCCAGATCTGGAAAATGAGATACCGCTAAAAGTGTAGTGAATCCCGAGAACGGTGTACGAAAAAGTGAATGATTTTTGTATTGCTTCTACAAACATAATCTGTTTACTATAGGTTTAGAGGCGAATACGGAATGCCGAAAGCTAAACAGCGGCCGATAAGATTATTCTATGTATTTAATACCTTTTTAGATAAAAATTATATGTTAATTTTTGATTTAAAGAAAAATTGAATGCAACAAAAATAGATATTCTCATACGTCTACAGACTAACTATTTTCAGTTAAATTTTATAACATTGTGGATGCGCAATCAATTAATGAAACGAATATACAATAACTTCTGAGCACTTTTCAGCTTTAATTAAATTTCTTATTATTTTGCATAATAAATACGACTAGTTTCAAAGCTCTCCCAATTTGCGAAGCATTTATTTGTTTTATTGAATTGCTTGCAAGATATAGATAGAAGAAATAAGTAAAACGACATACAAAAGACAAACAAGCAATTCGAGATAAAATCCACAAAAACAAAATAACATTACATTCACACATGAGAATTTCGCAGTGAAGAACTCAATTGTTTCTTTCTTATTCTTATTCTCCATACTTGTATGCACACAAAGTAATTTACGAAATGTCATTATTGACATAATAGCTGCAACAATAACTTAAGTTTTTATCCTGAATATAAATATGTACGTAGAGTACAGGTTGATAAAGAATGAAAAATGAAAAACAATCAGAAGAATGTTTATTAGTTTTAAATAAAACTAAAGAATGACCAGAGCATTTCGTTTAACTTTACTTTCAAATTCTTTTGTTTTATTTTTCTTAATCTTATTTTATTTTAATACGTATATATTTCATATTCTTTTAAGTTTTGTTATATTTTTTTTTATTTTACTTAATTTTCTTTTCTTTAATTTTATTTAGTTTAATTTTTTCTGCTTTATTTTGTTTCATATTTAATTCATTTTCTTTTATTTTATTTTATTTTTTTATTTTATTTTATTTTATTTTGTTTTATTTTATTTTATTTTATTTTATTTTATTTTATTTTATTTTATTTTATTTGATCTTATTTTTATATATATATACATTTTATTTACAACTGTTTTAGTTATTTTAAAAATTTTTATTATTTTTCTCAAATACATTTTTTTATTTTTTTTTTTTTGTTTGTTTTGCACTTTTAATTTTTTTGTTGTCTATTTTATTAAGATAGTTCATAAAAAATATTTATTATTTGTGTTTTTAAGAAAACGCACTCTCTTTTATGGTGCTTAAATGCTATCCGAATTATTATTCGTATAAAAACTTCAATTCTGTTTTAAAATGCTTTATTTTCTTTTTTTGAAGTATTCGCTTTAAGGCAATTAATTAACTTTGAGGATTTTCCAATTGTAACGCAAAATCCATAAATCCAGGTTATAAATAATGCAACTTTCTGCATCATATTAATAACGATTTTCAGTTCACTTAGGAAAGGAAAAACCATATTTGCTATTGATAAGCCAAGCTATATAAATGTAAGCGCATGTAACATGTGTATAAACACTTTTACCGACAAATGTGTGTATGTACATATGTGCAATTATTGTGTATAAACACACAACTTCTGATTTTATTGGCTGAGTAATTGTAAAAATATAAAAAAATCAAATAATCCTTGTGAACAAACACAAAAAATATATAGAAATAAGTCACTCATACGCTCCGTCGATTCAGCTTGATTTACTGTCGCATGCACACAAGCACATCGGCGTACCAACACACAAATACCAAGGAAATGACTTGCACAGAAAGGAAGGAAGGAAACAACTCCAGTGGCGTGTGGCAGGAGCAATTCACTTAATCGCTCGTAATCGTTAAGGTAATTGGCCAACAAAGGAAGTATAGAAAAAATTAAATAAAAAATAGAAAAAGCACGAAAAAATTTGTAATAAAATTAAAAGAAAAAGTAAAATAGAAAACTTTGCACAGAATGAAAACATCAATTGAAAAGCAATTTCAACGCCAGATTGTGCTCGCAATGCTTCACAATACTTATACATTTCTATTTTTTTTTTTTTTCAAATACTTCACTGCATCCGCGCAGCACAGCCACAATGAAAGCGGATGAAAAGTAAATAATAAAAAATCTTAGATTATGTCAGAGATATAAAAATTTCCAAAGAAATATTATTACGTGGAAAAAAATTTCGCCAAAACCGAAAGTCATCTAAACTGTTTGGCCGCTGCTTACACAGTAGAGAATTTTTTAAACTTTTTAATCTTCATATTTCTTTGATTTTCTTTTTTGCGTGACTTATTTTTGTAGATCATCATGCGTCGTTGACTTTACAAAAAGTACTTCTATTATGATTTTCAATTTTTTTTTATAAATATATATATATAAAGGGAGAGCGCAGTGTTTATGCTTGGCTTGATATTGAGTAATACCAAATTTTATTAGCTGTATTAGATACCAAATACTGGATTTCTGCCACTAGAATATTTTTTTTTGTTTTCAATTAAATTAATATATATTTAATTTAATAAAAATTAACAATCATTTCAAGCAGACTCTGTAACTATGTTAGTAAATTGGATTTTGATTGGCAAGAATGAGATGAGATGAGATGAGATGAGATGAGATGAGATGAGATGAGATGAGATGAGATGAGATGAGATGAGATGAGAGAGATGTGATGAGATAAGATGAGATCAGATGAGATGAGATAATATGAGATGAGGTAAGATATGAGATTTGAGGTAAAATGCGATGATATGAGATGAGGTAAGATAAGGTGAGATGAGATATATGTATGAGATGAAAAGAGTTCAAAAAACTATACGAAAAAAGTATGAGATCAAATGAATTTTCTCGTCTGGAGTTCAAAATGCGTACTATTTTCTTTTACGCGCCCCTAGGAAAAGTCAAATATTTTTTTGACTCCCCACGTGTTAGGCCAATGTTTTCCATGCTTAGACTTATTCGTGGAATTTTTTACCCCTTAAAGTCAAGTAAAATTTCATATCATTTTATATTTTAACTTTTCTGCAGCAGAACAAAATTTATGCTGTCATTTCTTTAACCAAAAAGCTCATTGTTTATCTTGTGTATATTCTTTGTTTTTTGTCATTGTTGATTTCCTGCCAGCAAATCTTCCTTTTTATTAACATTTTTTAATTTGAAAACTTTTCTTTATATACTGTATACTTTCGCGCACTCGCGTTCTACTTTTTGCCCATTCTGTATTAAGTAATTCAAATGAGCCACATAAATATCAATTAATACTTGCTTAAGTGGCGGCTAAAACTTTTGCTCATTTAAAGCGTCTGCGGCTGTGACTTCTGCTCCTGCGAAAATTTTGGGGGATATGGCAAGAAAATGGTAATTAATCTGCATTAGATTCTTTTGTAGAAGGAAAAATATTTGTTCTTCTTTTTCCACTCTGAGCTTTTGAAACGTTTAAAGCAGTAAGAAAGCACAAAGGTTTGAATTTGGTGTCTTATACCACACAGCCGTCACTTGGCAATAACAGTAGCGTAACGGAATTGAAAAAGACCTCTCTTAGCCGTTCAGTGCCGAACTGGGTTTCAGACAATGTTACTTTTTATGGTGTAATTTCTTCAGTTTAATGCTCACCGACTCCCACATCACTGTAAACAGTCATAACTTTGAAATCATAGATAACTTCATCTATTTTGGAACCCGTTATAACTCCAACAACAATTTCAGCCTTAAAATTCAACACAGAATCACTCTTGTCAACAGGTACTACTTCGAACTAAGTAGGCAATTGAGAAAGAAAAGTCCTCTCACGGCGAGCTAAGACCAAACTCTATAAGTCCTTCGTCATCTCCGTCCGGCTATATTGTGCAGGAACGTAGACAAAGTCGACATCCGATGAGTCGATTTTGGAAGTCTTCGGGAGAAAAGTTTCGCGAAAAATTTATGGTCCACTACGTTAAAAGCATCACGTGGAGAGCGACAGGGTTTTACTCGATATCTCAAACTGACGCCAAGCAGCCAAGAAAAGGAACGAATAACATGCTATTGTTGATTCAGCTTTAATTTATAAATTGGTGCCTAAGCCGATGAAGAAGAAGATAAATTCGGGTTTGTACATTATTATGGAACATTAATTTTTTCTAATTGGGGTCGGCACTTGACAAGTAATATCTAGCCCTCTAAGTATATTGCTGTCATGAAAGGAGGAGCTCAAGGAAAATCGTGGAACTAAAAATGTTAAGAGAGATTTCAGAATGAAGTTCTTCTTCTTCAACTTTTTTAAAATATTTCTTAGCTTTGAATGAAAGCACAATCCTACTGGAAACCTTTACTTCAAAGCTATAGTATTGAAAAGCGCAACCGCTGTCTACAAATTGAACAAATTCAAATTCAAATTCAAAAATCCCAAACGCAGTTGCTAAAACTAACAAACTACACTTTTCGACGCATGAACATTCACCGCAACATTATTTGGCGACTCAGTGCAATGGCAGATCCGACGACAAAAACTGATTTTTTAGCGACAAACTTTTCACAGCAGCACCACAAGCCATGGAATCCGATGCGAGGAATCACAGTTTTCTTTTTTTGGTTTTACTTTTATGGTTTTACTTTTATTTGCTGAAATTTTTGTCTGCTTCAGCAAAAGTTTTCAATGCGAGCTCTACAGTTGCTCGCTCATAAACATACAAACATATATCCATCGAAAAATATTTTTTGCAATGGATTAATCGCACCAAACGTAGTTAGATCGTACATAGTATGTATAATACATGCGGACATATCTTTATTGGACTTCTTCCCCTGGTCAGCTTAGTTTTAACGTGACTACCCATCCGTCTGTCTATGAGACGAACGGAGAACTCAGTTGAACATCTGTTTGCTTTAACTTTAATTTCACTTTAAAATTGGTCAGCAATCATGACGCTGAAATTAGAAATTTTGCGTTTGACTTGCAGCCATCTGCCCCTTCGAATGCTGCTTTTCTGGACTCTCTCTCTCTCGACAACCACTTCTTCCATTTTATAATTAGCATTTGTGGAGGAGATTAAAAAGTTTTCGATGTCAATGAGCAGTGTGGAATTACGCACGTACGAAAATGGCTTAGCTGAAATGGCTGCATGCGGCTGCTCGCGATATAAATAATTAAACTCAAATTTAGATCTTCACAAACTTATTTTCATTCATATCCATCTTCGTTTATATATGAAAGTCATATTATGATAAGATAAAACTCAAGCAAAGTAAATATTCGGCTGGCAGTCGGCTGCATATGCACAGAATAAAGTATCCTTTTTTCGGTGCCCTGATTACAGGTACTAGAGCAGACGAACTTATCATACAGATTCTTCTGGATTAAGTACGACATGCCTTTCGCTACGCGCAAACTGCAACTTAAGGAATTCATATGCTCACTGCCGGTTTAAGGTATGAAGAGAGCTTAGTTTGCTTCAAAGCGAGATAGACTTGTGTCCTATGACTTATATACATATATAACTATCGATTTTCGGCGAACTTCTCTCCTCTACTTTTAGGTGCGGCTTTTGATGTTTTTTTCCAATAAATGGAGCGACCAACAGTTTATTCTGCTCGGGCCTCACTTGGCAGTCTCAATAATACCATTCACGATAAGAGAGTTGGATAAGGTGTGTATGGCTCTCTACCTAGCAGCCACCTACGGGTAAGGGGCTCAAGAATTTACCCGCTGTAAGGCCATCGACCGCAGTAGTCGAGTGGTTAGCATTGCGTACTGCCATTCGAAAGGCTCGGGTTCAAATACTCGTGCGACCAACATCCAAATGTTATAGAAAATTAATTTAAATAAAAAATTAAGCAAAATTTTCTAATTGCGGTCGCCCCTCGGCAGGGAATGTCAACCCCTCCGAGTGTATTTCTCACCTGAAATAAAGCTCCTTATAAAAAAACCATCAGTTGTTGTAAAAACATCAAGACGCAAAACCACAAATTGGAGGAGGAGCTCGGCCGAAAATCGCTTCAGCGGATACAAAGCGCCAATTATATATATAAGGTATTCCTGTAGTAAGAGGCGAGAGGCAACTAAAATCCAATAGTTCCCAGGTCTCTATTTCGGTACCAACTGGATTTTTATTCGGACTGTCACATCCGAAATATTTCGCGAAAACCAAATCGAGAAATATTTTGCAGTTACAACAACAACAACAACAACAACAACATTGATTCTCTATGACATGAATGACATTTAACATCTTGTTAAGCATTGTTTTTGATGTTCTTGTTGTTGTTAAGCATTGATGCATTGAATCTGTTTAGCCTATTTATTCATGTACTGCATATACCTGATGTGCTTGGAGGCGACGCAGCTTCCGGCTGGTATCTGCATATCGATATCGAAAGATCAAGGAGACTACTCGAGAGTCCCGCGTAATGCTGACGCAGCTTAGGTCTGACGATTGTAGCAGATTAAACTGCTACCTACTCGACCCCGACATACTCAACGTATGACCAACATGTAACGAGTCCCCGCACGGCACTAACCTCCTCTTTATATGCCCTCTATAACCCCCTCCCGCTCTTGTCCAAGCCTCTCGAAACAGGTCGTTTCCTGAACCTCCCGTTAGATAACCTCGATGACTTAAACTAACTACCGGAACTAACTATTTGGAACAACCACTACAAAACTAACAAAAACATCGAGAACAATAAAATTTTTCGCCAGGGTTAGGTCTCCAAAGGTTCGACAGTTCTTGGCGGTATAAAATCCTGCCCAACTCAGGTGTTTAGATTTGGATCAATTCCTACGAATCCAGACTCGACGCCGTCATATCCAACATATATTTTAATTGCAGTGAGACCCCGCCCGACGCTAACGAACTCTTTGCCTACTAACCTTCATTTATCTCTGGTACACATCCGCTAAAACTAAACCGGACATGTTGGAAGCCGATGATTACATAATATTCCGCTTGTGCATACCCATACCAATGAAGTCATAACTTTCCTTGGATCACTTGTTGCATCAGGTTTCCCAAAAAGCCAAGACTTCTCTTCTACATCGACCAATTCAAACGTACTGTGATTTGTACAAAAATAACTAAAACCAAAACAAAAAGCAACTAAACGGAGTTAAATAATAAAACTTAAGCAAATACAGACGTAAATAGATATTGTGTAAATAAACTTACAGATTATATGACAAACAACTGATAAGAAAATTCTACTCTATTCGCAAAGGTGAAATGAAACATAATTCTTCTAATTTAGTCATTTTTTAGTAAAATTACAAATTTTATTTTTGTTCACAACATTGGCATAGACTAATAAAACGCGCTCTGTTTCACAAATAAGTCGTTAATATAATATGCTTTTTTTCTATTTTCTTTTAACAATTAGTAATTATATATATAATAGTAGATGGTTAATCAGTGGGTTATTGACACCAATGTCCATGTATTAATATTTTTCTTTTGACATTTTTTTTTGTTCTCTTACGTATTTGACTTGGTAGTAGGAGTTTTAGTTTTTTTTACTTTTATTTTTAAGCATTCGAATAATGAATAAAAGTATCCCTCAAAGGTAATCCACTCTCAAATCAAACGGCAGTAACAATAGTTAACTGGCATTAACTAGCTTGCATCTTCATATTTACAAATAATGGCGAACGTATCGCCGCCCAACCGCTCTGCAAGCCATTTATTTTTAATGACAGCTAATTTAAGTGTCTCACAGGTGAATTTCGCATAAAGATTTGTATGCACTGTACGCCCCATACCTTCAATAACCAACAAATCAGTCTCATGTTCTTGTATGGCATCACATAATGCACTCGGCAGCGAGCGCATATCCAGACAAGGACCACTTTGTCCATTCGCATATAATAATAGTGTTTCTTCTTGTCTCGCTTTAGCTAAGACGCTGCAATGTGTACAAGCTTTAATCAACAAATCTGTCAATTCTCGGTTTGTTACATCATTTAACGATGGTTCACTATTTGCACATAGCAAAACTTTAGTGCCACGTTGTAATAAAGCACGCACAAAGGGCAATATGCCCAAAACTACATCTACACCGCTATTGTCGACGAATACAAGTGCACATTTATGCGCTTTGCCAAGCATACGCTGCAACCAGTTGTCTAAGTTATCAACAAGCCATGGTCTTTTCTCTATACGATCTAATGCTGAATGTAAGCCGAAATTGGAATCTTCTTCCAAAATACTCGTCACAGCTTGGGCACCCCAATCAAACATGTTACCAGCGAGCACACCACGTATCAGCTCTGTCCAACGTGCTGTATTATCTGTGATGGCGTCTAGCTCTTCCAATCGTTTGCTTAACGCAGCTAGAGCAGCTGTATTTTCTAACTCTTTTTGTTTTCTCCAAGGATCACCAAAACCATATACTCGCAGTTGTATTTCGTTCAATTCAAGCAATTCACGTATGCCTAGCACAATATTGTTTGCAGCATTCATTTGTGTATTTCTTTGGTATTCATCCAGTTTTTCTAAATATGACTTTCGAAAATTTTCTGCACGTTGCACGGCGGTATCATCATTATGACTTTGGCTTTCTGCTGCTTGTGTGGCAAATTTTGTAATTAAATCACGAAAACAAGGGAACCAATATAAAGCAGCCTTCTCATCCCTATTCAAGTCGATTGTGTCTGGTGTATATGAACTAGGGTCCTTTAGCAGCGTAAAACATTTCGAATCTGACATTCTTTTTAGGTGGCATAAAGAAAAATATTTGTTTATTCTCATAAACTTTATATTATTGTTATTGTATATTATAAAATACCTGCTACTTCCTATAATCAGCTTTTTCGCAAACTCCGTTGTCCAATTTCTCTCTTCTCCCGGGAATATTGCATCAATTGTGTTACTGCTTTTTGTAAATGTAATTTTTCTTTTATTATAATCACGTACGACGCCGATTAAAGAATAATCACTTTTCCACAGTTTTATCAATATTTAAATAGTTCTCTGCCGTATATTGTTGCAATAAAACATAACATAAACGAAAACAAGTGATTACCAGCTGATTGGTGCTGCCATGCCAAAAGGTTTTTTAACGATCGGCGCATTTTGAGGAATTTAAACTATAACAGGCCTATTCTCACTGTTACCGGTAAAGTGAATTTTGTTACTCTTCTTTAACACCCGAAATTGAATTTGGTATTCTGGCGAGCTGTTTACAATATTTGAAGAAAAGAAAAACTTGGCAGCACTGTTTTTTTCGTTCATGTCAAATTACATTTGACAGTTGATTAAGTAAAAAAAAAATATTCACATCGAAATGGAAGACGGTGCCCAAAAAATTTTAAAAAATTGTATTAATATGTTTATTAAATCATATATTTCAACCTAATTATGGAAAATATGCCTGGATAACATAAAAGGCTGAATGAAAACGTTTTCTTACAAATTAGAGAGCTAATTTTTAGTCTCAAAAAGTTCTTAAAATACGGCTTTTTGCTCTTTTTTCTTCATATTCAATGAATTCCAGGCCTAAAATATGCCTACCCATTTTGGTTTTTTATTTTTTCTCAAACTAACAACACAAAATCAAACAGCAGATAATTTTGTTACCTCCTATTTCGCTGGTAACAAAATTTACAGGGTAACAGTGAGCTCAGAATACGAAATGGTAACAAAATTTGCTGAATGGTAAATTTTAAAAATTAGGTAACTTTTGTTATAGCCTATTTCCACCGGACGTTAAATGCATTTTAGCTTAAACGTATTTAAACATCGCATTTAAATGCGGTAATTCCCATGTGTTTGTTGTTGTATAAAAGTGTGTTAACTCACTTTTCAAAGTGAGTTAACTCACTTTCGGCAATTTAACAGAAAATGTTATGTTAACATTGGATGCTGTCACTACTAATGTAATCATTTCATGGTGAAATTTTTTGTATAAAAATTCCTTTTTTGCATTAGTTTTAACATAAATGCCTATAATAAGTAATTGGCGAAGAGAATGCTTCTCCGCCTTCAAAAAAAAACTATAAGAAACAAACAAAAAACAATTGTGAAATATCAAAAGATCCCCTCAACATAAAAATATACGTCGCTCTGGTAGCTATCAGCTGATTGCGCTAAATAAATAATTTGAGGGAACAAACAAACAAATATGAAAATGGAAACATGCATAAAAGCATATCCGTGGCAGCAACGTTTGTCCGTGCAGAAATAATCTGCACTTGCAAGTCTTAAGATTGCAGAAATAGCCAAATAAAATGAATGCGGTCTCTTGAATTCATAATTTCTATGATTGTGGAAAATTTTGTAAACTGCAAATGTTAAATCAGCTGTTTCAGTTAACTCACTTTCGGTGAAAACGTTTGACATTTCATTTACTTAACAGAGGCCTTAAATGCATTTAAGTGCTTGGTGGAAATAGGCTATTACCTCGACAGATTAGGCCTGTAAATGTTCCTTTTTGTAATAATTGTCCCATATGACCCAATTGGAATAATATTCGGTAATTATACAGGAGAGCGGCTTTTGCTAAAACTGTCCAAAAACTATGGGGTTTTTGACTGAATAGTGGTATTTGATGATTATCTTTTCATTAAAAGTGGGGGAAAGCTGAATTTTGCAATAGTTTTATTATTATTAACATTTAAGGTTACACTAAAATCATTGCCATGCTGTGTTAGAAACTTAAAAAAGAGCAATGAATAAAACAAAGTATGGCGAAAGCCATAAGGAATATTTAAGGAAAATCATAAGTAGTAAGGAAAACGTAATTAAAAAATATCATTGGTTTTATATTGAAAACCAATAGTGAATTTACTATATTATATAAATATATAAAACCAATTGTAATAAAAACCAAATTAAGAACATATCTGCAAACATAACTTGAATTATTATTTTATTTTCGAATCAATTAGTTATCGATATGTATAAGGATTAATGTATACAATTGGTGTTTTCGGACAAATAATTCTAGCCCACTTCCGAATGGCTAATGGATTTCAATGACATTTTTTTTATTTTTGAGATTCTCTGCTGAGAGGAAAGTTACCTAATTTTTTTAATTAAATAGATTTTATATAATTTGTATGTTGATTGGGAATTGCAGCTTCCAGATTATTTGTACCTTAGGTAAAGCAAAAAAATAAAAAGTAAACATGGCAACTTTTCATGTGATTATAATTTTATCTGCGGTTTATAATATAAGGATTTGTTAATCGCTTTTGTTTTCTGTGATTTACAAAACCGCAGCTGTTTAACTCTATCTTTTTTCTAAGTCGTGTTTTTCAGGAATTTTCACCACAAAAATTGCGGTTTTAATGAGATAAAATATATTTTATAACACAGATATAAGAAAATATGTTTTAAATATCAAACGTAGAATCACTTTGAGGTTCAAATTATCGTACTTCATATTTATATATATACAATATATTAGTCAAAGATACCTTTTTTATAAAAGTATATTTGAAAAATTAAATTTCCCACCTGCTGTATATTCATAATCCAATTTAACAAATTATTTTTATGAATTGAATTTTTTTTCCTGAAACGCAAGGAATTTTCGTGCAGATGTTATAGATCCAAAGCGAATTTAGCAAGATGAAATTACTATGATAGCAAATTCAAATTTTTTCATTGTCCAAATTATTCTCAGTCTATGTTTTGTATGCTTGAATTTCATTTTGATTTTCTATTTGTTGGCGTATGGGTTTTGAGAACTGTTATTTTTGGATTATGGTTTGCCCAATAAAATAGTGGAAACTGGAGTCTGAATTTTTTTAAAAATAAAATTAATTTTCCTCGATTTAGACAGTTGCTACGATAAAGCGAAAACAAAACACGCTTGCTCCCATCTTGCTGAATTCGCTATGGGTAAAGTAGGTCTCAGGAATTGGTTTTTTTTTAACATTTGTATTGGGGAAATGTAAACTCAATTCGGTTCAGAGTTATGCCGCGATTTTAATTTTGACCGCGATGGAAAAGTTGGTAGCACAGCTGTTTTCTTGTTCTGTCGACTGATGGCAGAAAAGTGAATATAAAAGACAGATCTTGCCAGTAACTTATAGGAAAAAGGAAATATGAACGCTGGTAGGAAGTTCCAACCGAAACCCGAAACCCAACCCACCGAGTACCTACAGTTTTTAAGATATTGAAAGTTGAAATTGCACTAATATTTTATTCGTGAAGCAATTATATTGTATTTCAATGTTTCCATTTAGAAAAAACCTTTATAAAAAAAAACAATTAAGGTACAAGACAACACGCCAACCGTGATGGACTCACCCCAAGTCCTCTGAACTATCCTCGATCATTCCGACAAATGAAATAAGAACCTACATATATATTTAAGTTTATTTTCTTTTCCTATTACGATTACATGTTTTACCGTCTCCTGGTTGGTTGCCGATTTGGCACAGCACCACAATTAACCTATTGTAACGTAGTCGTCAATTATGACGTCGAATTTGACTTCTTGTTACACACAATAAAAGGTAAGATATATGTGAGAGAGATTTGTAGACCTCTTCAAACTATGTGCTTTTGCCGCTTATAAACCCAACGCTTATTTTGTATTTGCAGCCTAAGTTCTAGTTGGTAACAGTTTCACCTCGCCAAACTTGCCAGCTAATACAATGGAGAACGTAATCAATTTACGTTCTCTGAATTCAACTTATTTTTTACGTTCTCTGAGCGAATGTTATAAGAAAGCAATGTCACGATAAAGATGAGATGGCAAACAGTCACATAAAAAATTCTGGACTGTCAAATTATCAAAGTTTCAGTCGTCGACACAAAACGAAATTCTTTCTTCTTTTCTAAAAACATAATTTTAAGTTTCTTGTTAACATTTTTTTATAAGAGCTTTTTGTTTATAAATTTATCAATATATGCATAACGACGCGACCAACTTATCAAACGAAGAAATATTTGTGAAATCAAGTAAAAATCCGAAACGAGCAGTGACGGGCTATGGCAAAAGCGTGGAAAATTTGCGAAAGTCTCTTAAAAATTTATTTATGAATATTTGTTAACCGCTTCGCTAAGTGCGCTATAATTTGATTAGGTTAATAAATGTATGTGGTGTTATGAATTTCATTTAACTATAAAATAAAAATATATTTTGAAAAAGCAGCAGGCAAAAATTTGGGGATTAGGTTCTTGTGTGCAGGCGGATAATAAGCGTACGTGTACACCTATTACCATAAGACCCTCTCGCGGCTAATTAATGTATGTACGTATGTACATTCCATACAGTACATTTATGGGCACGTAAAGCACAGTAAAGATATAGATTGTGTAATTTATATGCAAATAAGTAACGATAATACAAGAAGTGCGTGTGACTGTTGCTGCTGCTCCTGCTCCAATACGGCAAAAAGGTGGAGAGGTGTGTGAGAGCGCAACAAGTACAATTGTGGGTTGAATGTTTAAATGTAAGCTTGTGTGAAATACGACCATCAGCAAACATCGACGGTTACGCTAACGACAACGTCAACAGTTGAAAGTGTGTAAAAGTGGACAGCTATAACAACAGATTCCGGCTGCGACGTCGACTGTGACAGTGACGTGTGCGTTAAGATTTACAAAGGGTTACTTCAGAGTGCCTATGCTAGAAGCAAGTCCAATTAGATGATAATGCCGTTGAAATTTCTGAAAAAGTGTCGTCAATATAATGTGACATCGAAGAGCTTGTTTGTCATCTCTGTGCATCATTTGCTAGGTGAGTTTTTATTTTTATAACTAAATAGGCAGACATAAATCTTTGTGGGGGTGTTAGCCGTCTAATGTATAGATATTGTGCGTTTTTTCGGTTTTGAAAATTGTATATAATTCGGCTAAAGATAAACTTGTATCATACAAATATACACGCATGTATGTAGGTATGTATGTTAAGCAATGCGCATATCTCGTGCAAGTTTTTTAAGCTTCACAGTCGCTGATAAAATACATTCACACGCAACTCGTAAAAATCATATAAAAATTCTTTACCTTTATTTGAAAAAAAACTGATTATATGTACATATATTCTATTATTGTTCTATATGTTTGTTCATATGTACATATATATGTAAATATAAGCATATTATATAATAAATGCGCAAACGCCCCTTTTTGCATCTGTTCGGCTCTTTTTTTGTCAGTTTGTGAATAATTTTTTTTTATAAAAAATGTGACATTTGAGAGACAAAAATGCATTTTTGGTCATTGTTGTAATATTTTCTTTTTATCTTTTTATCATACCTACCTACTATCATAAAACAAAATAATATGTAAAATATGTAGTATAGGTAAGCTAAATGTATATAATCTTATAACAAACTAATTTTTTGGGAGCTTTCTCACCATCTTTATTTAAAAAGATCTACATGGTGAACCTAGGGAAAAGTGTGTAAAAGTCATTTTTTTTTGTCAGAGGGTAAAGAGATTTATAAACGAAATATAAGTTATAAGTAAAAGAAATGAGACACTATCACCGTCCAGAAAGTTTTCCCTTAAAGCGGCCATAAAAAAATATTGATCATCTTTCGATGCGAAATCCATTCACTGTAATAATTTCTCCAGTCTCATTTTCCAAAAATAACGTCGGATGACCCCACCGGATTGTAAACCGTACCAGACACGTTGAGGATGGAGACGACTTTTAACAATTAGTCTTTAATTTTCCGAATCCCGAAGTAACCATCGATGTGAAAATGGGCCTTATCAGTCGAAATTATTTTTCCATGAAATTTCGGACCACTTTTATGTGTTTTAAGACCTTGTGTACGATCGATCGGCTTGAAATCTTGTGTTACCTGAATTTGATAAGCCTTAAGACTCAAGATTTAAGTAAAATACGGTGTTTTGCAGTTTGTGAAATTCCAAATTTTAAAAAACGACAAACATTTGACAAACTTGGGTTTTCTTCAACCCATTGGGCTACTGGAGCAATAGTCTCATTTGTTTTTCAGCAGACAAAAAATTATAAATTAAAAATAGAATAAAATAGTAAATAAAAAAATGAAAATAAAATAATAAATAAAAAAATTAAATAAAACATGACAAAGGAAAATAATAAAAAAGTTAAGTAAAATAATAAATAATAAATAATCAAAATAAAATAATAAATAAAAAATAGGATAAAATAAAATAACAAGAAAGAGTAAAGTAAAATAATAAAAATTAAATAAAATAATAAATAAAAACTAAAATAATAAGTAAGAAAAAAAATTAAATAACGAAAAATAAAAGAACCAAAAATAAAGTAAAATAATAAAAAAAAAACAAAATAAAATACCAAATAACAATTGATTTAAAGCAAAAAGGTAAAATAAAATTATAAAATAAAATAAAATAATGCATAATAAATAATGATATTGTAAACAAAAAATTAAATAAACTAAAATTAAAAAACGAAAAAAGAATAATAAATAAAGAATAAAATAATAAGTAAGAAAAATTATAACGAAAAATAAAATAACAAATAAAAAATTTAATAAAAAAAATAAAATAAAATAAAATAATGTAATAAAAAAATAAAATAAAATAAAATATTGAATAAAAAATAAAATAAAATAATAAATAAAAAATATGTAAAATTTTAAATAAAAAATAAAATTCTTCATCGTCGTCCAGCGGGTCTCAATTCGACCGGGCGCGGCGGTCCGAGGAAGCCGATGCGGGGTTTCTGCCAAAGTATTATTCTCTATTGCAATAGAGATAACTATTTTTCCTTCTAAGCCATTGTCCAGTTTCGTCTGTAGCTTTTGATCAAAAAGCTCGTCCAACTGCGCAGCTTCGTTTTTGACTTCAAGGCTCTTTTTTTTGGAATAGCTTGCTTCTTCTGCTTGTCTCATTTTGCACACGAATTCATGCCTTGATGACTCCTGCGGGGGCAGAGTTGTAGAAAATATCGCCGTGTTGATATTTCTCCTTACTCTTCAAAGTTTTTATCGTTTTTGTTCGTTGGAGTTATTGCCGCGTTCATTTTTCATGAGTCTCCGCTCCAAGCCGCTATCTCCACACGTTGTACAGTCGCTCTGACGAAGGGTAGCCAGCCCTCAGGACAGCCAGCGCTAATCAGGAGTTTATCTCAACTGAACCTGTACGGCCAAATTAATGGCGAGGGACTTTAAACGTACTTAAAGACCTGCCAGGGCTCAAACGAGCCGGAGGGGATTGCTTATTGAAGTGGCTGAATACCACTCTCACCAATCCAAAAGCTAACTTATTCGTAAAGATGTTTCTAGTATACCTTAATAGGGATCTTACTGTTCTCGATCCTGATGGGCACTAGCCCGGTGCATAAATGCATTCTATTTGGATATTTATGAATAACGGGTTCCGTTGTAGCGTCCTACGTCACTCTGTTGCCTCCCTCGCATGGGTAGGTATTCCCTCGAGGCTTGTGGATGCTTATTTCGAGGCGTCATCTATTCACCTCGTCACCGGAACTTCATAGGGTCTCTTCGGACCTTTTAAGCCGAGCCCTCTTCTCCTGTCGCCCTTGGTCAGGGGCTGCATATTGAATATTCGCAGCTAGCCCTGGCGGCCTGAGTTTAGCCGTAACAAAAACAAATATAATAATAATATTAATAATTATAAAAATAATCAATTATGTAAGGATAAAAAAGTTAAAAAAATGGTAAATACAAATTTAAAATACTACTGTGGGGAAAAAGGAGGGTGAATTTTTAATTTAAGCTTCGTGAGTTTACTAAACAACTAAAAGTGCCTTCGGCAATTTTTATAATATCTGATTTAATTGAGCAAAGAAGAGCGATCAAATTTTGTTTGTGGAACAAATTTTCAGCTGCTGAAACGTTGAGCATGCTATAGAAAGCCTTTGGCGACCCAACTATGTCGCAGAAGAACGTGTATAGATGATACAAAGACTTCAAAGAGTGTGAAAAAAAGGGATTGATAACTTGGAGCGCTCGGGACGACCATCAACGTCAACTGATGTGCAACACCAACACCTCAATGAAATTAAGGAATTAGTGCTTAAAAATCGTCGATTGACTGTTAAAAACCTTACTGATATGGTTGGAATATCTGAAAGTTTTGGAAAAACGATTTTGAAAGACTATTAGAAGACAATTTGCAAAAAAAGACCAGAATTATTGGCCAAAAATTCTTTGTTTTTGCATCACGACACTCATTCCTCGTGACCATTACGAATATCGTTCCCCAACTACTGTATTCGCCGGACTTAGAACCATGTGATTTCTGCCTCTTCCAAAAACTCAAGAGATCACTTCGAGTCGATTTAAGAGATTATACGTGAATCGGCGCGCTCTCTGAAGGCGACCACACCAGAACTTGACTATTTGACATCCTCCGATAATTGGAAAAAGCATTGGCATAAGTGCATTGCATCGGACGGTGACTTTTTTGATGGCGATGAAATCGATGTAGAAGAATAAAAAAGACTTTTAATTTTACAAACAAATTCACCTCACTTTTTGCCCACAGTAGTATAATAGTATTTTAAACCTTTTTAATAAAATTAATAACACAAATTAGTATACAAAGTTAAGCAAAATAAAAGATCCCAACCTAATAGTTACATGCATAAGCGGACGTACGTTTGTATGAATTTCATTTTACACTTGCAACATTATACCGCATTCCATTTTATCCATTCTCTATTTTATACATAACTTTACTCCGTCACATCTGGTTAGGAAGGCATACACCGCTAAACAATAAACTAACCAGATTATATTACTTACGAGTACATACAAACACATTTTATAACACTCATCTAAATACGTATAAGAGAAGGTTGTATTTATTTGAATTTAATTATTATGTTATTGTTGTTGTTATTATTTAAGCGCTGAAAGCATTTATTTGCTAGTCTATTTAAGATTATTATTATTTTTTTATTATTTAAATAATTTTTATTCTCATTCTTTCAATAAGGTTTACTTACTACTATTATTCACACTTGGCGTTTTAGATTTATTAACGCATTGTGCAGGCGCCGTTAACGTCGGCTGAGACGCTAGAAACAGTTTGTTTAGTTCTCCTGCACGCAATTGATACTCAGACAACAGAAAAGTGTTTAACTCTTGTTCATAATTATTCAGACTTTTGTGCTTTTTATTGGCTTATTTGCGGCGTTCCATGAATTTTTGTTTTTTTAATTTTTTTTTTGTTGAAAAGTGTGTTATATTCTATGAAAAATAAAAGATTTTAGTGATTTTAGCAAAATATATTTCTGAATAAAAAAGAATCACTTGAAGTATGTACTTACAAAGCGAAAAGAAAAATACACTTATCTCGCACCCACTTAACAATTTGAGTAATTCTTTTGATAAGTACTGCAATAATAAATTGTCCCTTTGTAAATACGAAAGTGTACTTGGTGACTAATTCTAAAATTAAATGTTATAAAGCAATATATGTATTATAAATCATTTAACTATACAATAAAAAAAAACTCAAATAGTTTCCATTTAGCGCATTATTTCAAACGATTTTATTTATTAGCAACTTGTTGCCCAAATTTATGGTTACCTTCCGCCAGTTCCTGTTGGTGTTTTTTTTAAATTAATTTTTTTTTCCATTATTTGCAATATGTATTATTATCAACTCTTTGTTTGGCCTGTCCCATTAAGAAAGAAAACAAGTGTTGCCTTCTTATCTTTTATTTATTTTATTACGTATACAAACAAACAAGTAAAGATACAATTTTATGCGCTTATCTTGCAAATTACCTTTCTCCAAATCTAA